TCCCCAGGCCTCATACTGACTATTGATGTCAATAGAGTTACACTGTAAAATTCCATCTATTTTATTTGGACCCTGGATGGGCACTTTCCCCCACATATCCCATTTTATGTAACAGATGGCCTTTGTGAAAATTTCAAGTAAAAAAGAATTTGGAGATAGTGCTATAAATGTGTAAGGAAATGGCACCATTTAAGAAACGAGTTTCAGCAAATTATTAGGCATAAAGTAAATTATTCTGAAAAAGGTTCACACTTTTATAGAGGCATTCTCCTTCTAAATGTAGCTGTATTTTCACACACCAAGGTTTTCTCCAATGAAGAAAGGCTGGCCTTTATTGTCTTATTACTTCTGATTGGCTTGATATCTTTAGAGTCTTGTACAATTTGTACTGCTAGTGTGAGACGTAAGTATATGGGGCCTGACCCTCTAAGTGAAAAGAGAACAAATTGGAGGCCACTGGGGTACAGTTCCGTATATTAACTCACTCCTCATTTAAATTTCAGGCTAATAGAATGAAGTCACAGTTGGGTGGAGAGAAGACTAGTTTCCCGCCGGTCTGTGTAGCTGCTGAGTAAGTAGACAGAAAGGCTAGCTGCTCCCCAGTGAGTCATAACATAAGACTGAGCATGGGCAAAACAGTTAAGCGTTTCCCAGCTCACATACATCCACAGACTCACATGCACACCTCCCCTGCAGCATTACTTAGAATGTAAGTTAGTGCAGATAACAAAGGTCCAAGATCACGGAAGTTTTAAGAAGAGAGTTTCTTCCTCTCTCATAAGCAGGCAATTAAGAACTGTCAGGGATTTCCAGTTTGGGGGAGAGTTTGAGATACTTCTAGGCTTTTTATTCTCCATCACTTGGAAGGGTTTAGCATTATTATGGTTCTGGCAAATGGTCCCAGATGGTAACAGTAATCATTTCCCTTTCTATGCTGTTACAGGAGAATGATTGTAGAGGGGATTTCAAACTATTATGTTTGCTTCTCTTCACCCAACTAATGTAAGCCACTTGCAATGTATTAAAAATCACATTTCTAGTCTCTGTTTCAGTGTTATCTTCCAGCCAAAGGGATGAAAGAGAAAGAGATATGCATAACTTCCTGATTGTGTCATTAAAGGTGTTGCCATTGCTGTTACTCCCTGCCTTTCCATTATCTTGAACTATGATCCTGCCCCCAAGAACTAATAGTGACTTTTGTGATGGGGCAGTTTTATAACCCTTCAGATCTGAAGTTCTTGGACATGCAATGTCTGCATATGATGTGGAATTTCCGTTTGTATTCTGTAAATACCATTGGTGAATAAAGAAACTGCCTTGGCCTGTTGATAGGGCAGTACTTAGGTAGGTGGGGTAAACTAAACAGAATGCTAGGAAAGAGAAGGCAGAATTAGGGAGAAGTCATGTAGCCCTGCTGGAGACAGTCACTGGAACTTTGCCGGTAAGCCACTGCCTCGTGGCAATACACAGATTAATAGAAATGGGTTAAATTAATATGTAAGAGTTAGCCAATAAGAAACTAGACCTAATGGGTGATTTAATTAATGCAGTTTTTGTGTGAGTATTTGGGTCTCAGTGGCCAGAAATAAAAGAGCAACCCCTTCCCTCCAACATGCATAGATACCTACATACACATATTTAATTAAATATATTTTTAACATTGGACTGGGGAGTCATTTTAAACACACAAAGCACTAACACGAAGATCTATCTCACTTCTAACTTTCCACAATTTTTGTATAGCTTTAACATACAAAGTAACAGATTTCTTAATTTTCATACACAGTTTGTTTTCATTGGTCCACCATCCACTCTTGCTCTGTCTCAATTCCCTTCATGCCCACCTAAATCCATTTAACTCCTCATTCACCCTTGGACTTGTATATCACATGTGTTCCACCAGCCCTCTCCTCATTGCCCAGAATGTCTCTTCTTCCCTCTTTCATGGGCTCTTTTCTAGCTCCCTGGCATTTCTACACCCCAACTTGAACATAAGATGTGCATATATAAAAATTATAAGCCATTTTTATCTGGCTATCTATTTGGGACTCTAGTCTTTCCCACTTTGTGCATGCTTCTCCCGCTATTCTCTACATAAAATCTTATTTGAATCATTTCTCCTTATGATTTTATCATTTCTAATTCACCATGAGGAAAAAAAAACATGTAGCCTGGCCAGACATTTACAGAATAAGTACACCAACACCAACTCTGAAGTCATATCACACTTTTTACTAAAAATATTCAGCTCTTATTATATCATTTGCAAAGGTAAGCCAATTTTCAAAATTATAGACTACCAAGAAATTCATACATGAGATGAAATTTTTTAAATCAATGAGGCGTGTATGTGTTTTCAAATTATAATACCAAATCTGGAAGATCACTCACCATGTGGGTGAAGTCTGGCTTGCCCACCCGCTTTAAGGCTTTGTAGAAAAGATGACAAGACACTCTTACACACCAGGAAGACTTGCCCCAGAGAACTATCTAAATTCAGCTCAGAAGAGGACCTTGCCAGCCAGAGCTTTGAAGAACTGTGATTCTTCACATGATTTATGGTTACCTAATACTAGCTGATAAAATTAACAACTTCTCGATCATACTAACTCCGCAATCCAAGCTTATCTCTTGCCTACACCATCATCCACTCCATCTCAGTGGCCAACCTTCAACATAGTCATTGGATACCCAGACTCCAAACATCTGATGTTTCCTCAGGGTAATTGCTCCACGGTTTTGGCCAAAAGATGAAGGATGTGAGAAACATGGAACACTGCACTGTCACTTCATGGTCAAGATTGGATATCCCAGCATGTCTACGCTCTCCCATTTTTTAGAACACACAACCCTAACCTGAATGAAGAAGGTTTTGGGAGATAGGACCCTCCGTCATGTCCTGAACAAGGAAATGAGACAGAGCTCTAAGAGCTGCCCTTCACATCCCAGGCCACAATGTTGGTGCTCATTTTTCTTTCCTGTTTTGCGACATGGGCACAAATGTACCACTGGAGACGAAGCGTCTGATTCATCTCACAGACATGGAGGAATGGGGAAACTTGACCATCAGTTGCAGCCTCTAGTTGCTGTATTAGACTGCTGCTGCTGCTGCTGTGTCTGTCACGCCACCCCTTACAATGACTGCAACATGCCTTTCTTCAGCTCTGGGAAGGGAAGTGGTGAACCTTTCCTCAGCACAGATAACAGAGTCAATTCAAGAACATTTACCCTGATTTGAAGATTTTAGTTGGTGTATATTTGTTTTTCCTTGAAATCAAAGTATTCTATCTCCAGAAAGACTCTTTCCCAAGACCATCAAGAAAGAAGTCTTTCAATGCAGCGTTTTATTTATTTTATTTTACTTTATTTTGACTGTATCAAAGCTATGACAGAAAAAAAAAGCCTAAACTATGTTCTCCTGGAACTCAGAATAAAGACACAGCGATTTCTCATATGCCTGTCATCCTGGCTGGGTCTCCACGCTTCTCCCCCTTCCTCTCGTTTATCCCTTTGATGATCTGGAGGTGCAGAAGAAGTCATTGCAGTTCTTTTCTCAAGCAGCTCTATTTGCCCAGGTCCCGGGGGTGACCACAGTAGCCAGAAACATGTAGTATGAAAAAAATATATCTTGCTTCCTTCATAAAGGAAGAATTGAGAATTGGCAGAATAACCTACTGCAACCAAATAGATAAAGTCCCATGTGATTGCTTCTCAAGCCAATGTTTTTTTTCCATACATTGGCATTCTCTTATGACAAACTTCACTTTTGTATATTATGTAACATATTTCTGAATTTTTAAACTGTGCCCATACAATCACAGAATTTCAGAAATCTGAATAGAGCTGAGTACAGTGGCATAGATCTTTAATCCCAGCATTCAGGAAGAAACAAGTAGATCTCTGTGAGTTAAGGTCAGCCTGTCTACATAGCAAGTTCCAGGTCACCCAAGGGTATAGAGTGAAACCCTGTCTCAAATGGGCGAGATGTGGGGCTAGAAGGATGAATCAGTGGTTGTCATCATTTGGGAAACCATTGCAATGATGAAACATCATGAATAAAGCAGTTTGGGTAGGTTTATCTGCCTTACACTTCTGTATCATTGTTTATCATTGAAGAAAACCGGGACAGGAACTCAAACGAGGCAGGAATCTGGAGGCAGGAGCTCATGCAGAGACCGTGGAGAAGTACTGCTTACTGGTTTGCTCTGCTGGCTTGCTCCACCTGCTTTCTTATAGAACCCAGGACCACATACCTGATCCACAATGGGCCATCAGTCATTAACTAAGAAAACTCTTGAAGAGTACCAGAGTTTGTCTCAGGGCATCTACAACAGGTGCCTCACAACCACCTATAACCTCGACTCTCGGGGCATGTTACATCTCCGTCCTCTGTGGGCTCTCAGACACAGATGCACAGATACACAAACATACAGTAAAAAACAATAAACTGAATCATTTTTTAAATATACATGGTCAATTCCTTTGACTCCACGGTGCGACTCTCCATCACTGCTTGCTGCTCTCTTCCCCAAGTATAACCACTATCTTATTTTGAGTTAATAATAATAATAACCTATTCACATTACATACATTTTATCATATAGTCACATCTTCTTAGTTTATTGCATTGTTTAACATTATTCAGATGAAAATTTCTTGTGTACATTTTTCTAGAACTTGTTTTTTTAAACATTTAGAAGGCATTTTATGTGTATATGTGTGTCTGATTTTGTTTATGTCATAAGCATACTCAACATATCTGCAGGTGTTCATAGACTCCAGAAGAGGGTGTTAGACTTCCCTTGACTTTGAGTTACAGACAACTGTACTGACAAAACATGGGTACTAGGACCAAACTCAGGTCCTTCAGAAGAGCAGAGAGTGCTCTCAGCTCCTATATCATCTCTGCGGCCCCATACAACTTTCTTTTGAACCTAATATACATTTTTTAGTCATGCATGCTGATTTGTGTAGCTGCATTTAGTTCACTTTTGCTATAGCATTGTATTCTGTTCTATGAACACAACAGCACTTAATTAGCTGCTCTGTAACAGGGTGGTTTGTTTGGAGTTTCTGTCTGGGCATTTTGCTATTAGAAACTACACTAATGAAAAGATCCTTGTATCAATTCTATAGTATGCCTATGCAATAAGGTCCTAGTCATATAGCTAAGAGGGGCAATGGCCAATTGTATAGTGTTCGTGAGTTCTACTCTAAGAGATGAAATTGCTTGTACAAAGTTTCTGCACCAAGTCACATTGTTACCAGTTTATAGGAAATTTCTCTTTGCAACACATCCTTACTAACACTTGATGCTATTGAGATTTATACACTCAGGTCTGGTGTTATATGCTGGAATTACATTGTGGTTTTAATTTGTATTTCCTTTAATCATATATGAACTCAAGAAACCAAACTGGGAAAGCAAAACAATTCACCATGGCCCTCCTTAAGAACAAGGTAAACTTCCTAAACCAGTCTCTTCTTAGAGAAGAGTTTTTTTTTTAGAAGTGGGGATAAGGGTAGTCCTAATTATTCATTAGACTTTAGATGTCAGAAAACATCAGAGGCCTTAGGCTACTGTTTGTGCTGTAAGATAAACAGCCGGTCTTAAGCGGCTCCTTTTAGGAGACCACATTATTAGCCAAAGTCATGGGAAAAGCAAATACATTTCAGAGGAATCGTAAATATTTCTTTTATCTTTCCAGATAAAGACATTTAGTATGAGTCCTAATGCACAGGCTGAGCCATACACAATTTATAGCAGGAGAGGGTTTGAAACACTTTTGTGTAAACAAGCATAGATAGTTTTTAAAGGTTACTAAAAGGCAGTATGAGCTTTTTTTTTCTTTTTCTTTTTTTCTTTTTTTTTCTGGAAAGGGAGCCGCTCCCTGTGGGACCAGCTCTGGTCAGTGTCAGGGCCTGTTTCCCCCTAGTGAGGCTGTTCCATTAAGCACCATTTTCATCTCTGCAGCCCTTACTTTCATGTAATGTTTACATCATTGACACCTCCTCTTAGTGAGTTCCTAGAATAAACAGAGGCTGTAATGTATTTAACAAGATTTTAAAAGGCCTGACTCTGGGACAAGGACAGCCAAAAGGGGGAAGAGATTAAAGCCCAAGTTTTACAATATCTCAATCTCCTGTGACAAGAACAGCTCAGCTGTTTCTGTCCAGGAGAGACACAGGCTCCTTGTGTTTATTCACAAATTAAAATGTGATGGGTTCCAAATGGGCTCTGACCAGCCAAATTCGGCCACCTAGCCTTTTAGCAGAAAATTATAAACCCAGATTATAAACTTGGAAGAGAGATGTGAAAACAAACTTGCTTTCACTCCACGACATCAGCATGCTAGTGGGAGCTGGGAGTGTCTGGAACTAAAGAGTAATTCACACAGAGTCAAATGAGTCTTTGGAATTTGCCATCTTGATTTAGAACAAAAGGCGGTGGCGTGTGGAGGGGGGGGGGCGCAGCAGTGGACTGTAGAGACTAAAACTTTACCTGATCCGGTTCAGCTGAAGGGGGCAGTGGAACACGTGTGGAGGACCTTTCTCTCCCCAGTTTGGATGTGGAGGTGGCTTCTAGTTGACCTGCATTTCGTTGAGTGAGGCTGGGCTGGGCAGAGTCTGAGTTCCAGGCAGCTTCAAGGACCATTGTGGGTCAGAAGTTCAGGGTACTGGAGAGGTACCATTCAGGTTAGTACTTCTCAAAGGAGGTCAGTGGACTGGGTGGGGCGCCCACACTTGTCAGTCTCTGATAAGAAAGGTTACAAGTTCGGGAGACATGACTCAGGTTTATATTGGACTTGGCTGCCATAGGTCACTGAGCAAGCAAATCACTCAACCAGAGAAAAAAATTGAAAAGATGAGCAAGAAAAGAAAATGGTATCTTGCTCCCCGTCTACACAAATAGTAGGAAAGCAGTAGACTTGGGTTCTTGTTAAAATTTAGGTATTTTTGCTTTTAATTGAACAAAAAAAAATGTGTATATTGATGGGGCACAGTGGTATACTCGGATATTTGTACCGTGAAATGATTACACTAAAGGAACTAACAGACTCGCTTACTGATTTGCTGTTGACAACACTTAAAACCTCATCTTAGCAATTTTGAAATATGCACAATAGTCTTGAACTCCGCGCAGCGGGCCGTCCAGCAGGGCTCTGCCTCAAACGCGCAGCTGCTCAACAGCATACATGCCCCCGACTCCCCTGCCTCCCTGACCTCCGCTGACTGAACCTCTGCCTGCTCCTCCATCTAATCAGCTTGTTTAGATTCCACAAAGCTGTGAACTCGCAGGATTTCTCATCTGTCCGGGGCCGGCTTGCCTTACTTAAGAGAAGGTCATCTAGCTTCATCCAAGTCGTCACAAAAGATGACAAAGGATTCTCTTGTGTTTAAGGCCGAACCAGATTGTGCTGCGTACAGCATGCTTTCCTTATCAGTGCTCCCACTGACGGGCACCAGGCTGTTTATCTTGTTTGGCTGTGGCAGATGCGGCAGTGAGTGTGAGAATGGCGGTGAGTGAGAGACTGTGAATTTGTCGAAGTAGATTCGGGTGCTGCTGGTGGAGGCACTGACCATACTGTTGAGGAGCACGGGTCTCTACTCAACAAATCTCAAGCCGCTCCCCACCATCTGGCACCGATAATTAACCTGGACAGTTTCCTTTTGTGAACCTAGAGCATAACACCTACTGGTATTTATAAGTGACACCTCTGGCTTTGGGGAGGAGGCGGAGTAACGTTCGTCATCCTCGGTGCTGCCTGTACAGGTTTTCCCACCTTTTCACCTTCTACTCTAAGAGTTAAGCCTGGCTTTATGGAGCTGCCTGTTCCCTGAAGGATCTGCCAGTGTTCGCAGCATGGAATATGCTGAGGGTTACGACCAGTGTAGGCCTTCTGGAACAGGTGTGGATTATGACTGGCAAGAGCGAGTACTGACCTCAGCTTTTCAAACATTCTCGTAAAAAGAGAGTGTTGGTCTCTGGCACAGAAGTCGGAGACTGCCTTCCATCCAAAGAGGATCAGGTAACTTCTGAGGACTAACTTGTGTTTCTCTGTTGTGGTTTCTAGAAGACAAGCCAATTTGTGCTTTATTCAAAATAAACAGAGCTTACACACAGGGGATTTGCAGCCTCTTATTGAGCGCAAGTCACCTTGCCCTCTGTGGCTTTCTGGAAAACAAACAAAAGCAAACAAACAAATAAACAAATAAAAAACAAGACAGAAAGCCATTCCTCGTGACTTCCAGACTGCCATTCAAATCTCTGCTATGAAAACAGTTGCATTGCTTTGTGCTTGCCCACTGAGAGGGATGACATTTAGGAGAGGTGGCCCTGCTGTACTGAATGAAGCTGTTGAGTTCCCAAGAGTGGCCCCTCTAACAGGCCCTTTGCTCTGCCACAATTGTACCCTTGTAGGTTCGTTATCTAGTTTCATTGCTCAGAAAAGCACTGACGTTCTGGAAAGAGAAACATGATTCAAATTGCACTGCTGTACCAGAAACCGGGGCCAGCATCCTAAGAAGACAACATTCTCAGAAGTCACAACGCTTGCAGCTGAATCTCTAAACTGGGTGGTGCTAATCTCAGCACTCAGGAGGCAAAGGCAGGCTGATCTCTGTATGTTCGAGGCCAGTTGGTCTACTAAGGGTCTTCCAGAACACAGAAACTCTGTCTCAAAAACCAAAGAAAGAATAAAGGAAGAAAGAAAAACAAGAAAAGAAAACAAGTCTCTAAATTAAAGCTGTTTAAAGACAATTCCAAGATATTAAATTTAAAATTCAAGAATATCTGGCTGCAGAAATTCCTTTACTTTGACATAACTGCTAATAAATATTTGTGCGTGTGCTTCTGTATGTCAGTTTCTCCTGTGTAAGATGGGATAATAATAGCGCCCATTAATAGGGTTGTGGTAAGGACTTTATGAATTAATAAGTACTGAGTCACAAGGGTAGTTCCTGGTGTATGTAAGTGCTATTGGAGGTTTACCAGTGACTCAGAATATAGCCACTCCACCCTCCACCCACACCTACTCGCTCAAAGTGACATTGTGCTGGTACACTGGAAAGGGTACTGACCAACTTCCAACTCTGGCCCACAGAGATATAGTGTGTGTGAGTGTGTGTGTGTGTGTGTGTGTGTGTGTGTGTGTGTATGTGTGTGTGTATACACTAGTACATGCCCGGAGAGGCATGATTCCTCTCCGAATCATGATTCCCTCCGAAATAGATTCCCTGGAGCTGGAGTTACAGGGAGATGTGAGTCACCAAATGTGGGTGTTGAGAACCAAACACTGGTTCTCAACAAGAGTAATAAGTGCCCTTAACCTCTAGGTCATCTCTCCAGCCACAATAAAAACACTTTAATATTTGAAAACAACACAATCTATCGAAAGTCTTAAACGTTTTATCAATATAAATTATTAAGGCATTTTACTGTTCTTCGCTGTATTCCAAATATGTCTGTTTTACACTCACAGTGAAGCAAAGTGCAAATGCTGTTTTCACTAGAACATTTAATTTGATGTTCAAATTAAAGGAAAGGTACTGTTAAAAAAATAGATTCACTTACCCCTGCTATAACACACACACCTGTGACTTATCCAGCACTCCCCTGGAGTTTTCCAATAAGTGAATTGAGTATCAGTTTTGCAGTTAAAATTTAAATTAAAGTATAACCAGGCATGGTGGCATATGCCTTTAACCCCAGCATGCAGGAGGCAGAGTCAGGTGGGAGTGAGTTTTAAGGCTGCCATAGTCTACAGAAGGAGTTTCTACACAGGAAAACCTATCAAAAAAACAAAAAACAAATAAATGAACAAATAATTAAATAAATTATGAACTCAGTTCTTTAGTCATGTTTCAAGGGCTCAAGAGTCATATGTAATTGATAATCCCACAGGGTAGATTCTGAAAACAGACAGACCTAACACTGAGTCTTGGTGAAGTTATTTGACCAAATTCCTAATTTGCAAGAGAAAAAAAAAGTTCATAAGTTATTGTCTTCCAAATTAGAGGCAGTCCACCTGACACTGATCAACAAATTACAGGTCTTCAATAAATATGAAATAATCTTTACTTAATACTTTAAGTAAAATTTAAGAAAAATCATCAAAACATTGATAAATCTAAAGGCATATGAAGTGACTCCAGAGAGCCTCTTCCTAGACTCTACAATAGTTAACACCTACCTTATTTTCACGATTTCAGATCTGTTCTATTCATTAATGCACCTAGCCATTTTCATGTATCCCAAAGAGGACATTAGTATACCGTGATACTTAGAACTCCATCAAGAATGTATAATTAAGTTCAATATTTGGTGTACTCTCTGTGAGTCTCACTGTCTCTGTCTTTTTCTTTCCTGCCTCCTCCCTTTTTCTTCTTTATTTCCTCTCTTGCCTCTTGTGTTGCTCCCTCCCTTTCCCTTCTTGCTTATTTACTCAGGGGTAAAATGCACACATAGTAAAATCCCCAGATATTAAGTAACCATCATAGGACCTCTGGAGTACACATGCCTGTCTAAGCCAGAGCTCACTCAAGCCATCCCTTAACCCTGACAGCTCCTCCACTCTTTTTCTTTAATTCCTGCTCTCCCCAGACAATCATTGTTCTGGCTAACCCTCCTAGATTAGTCTAGCCTAATCTAGAATTCTAAGTAAATGGAACCAGACAGTACTTGACCTTCTGTAGAAACATTTTTTACTCAGCATGTTTTTGGGACACACCTGTGTCTCGTCACTGTACATTTGTTCTTTCTTTCCTTCATTTCTTTTCTTTCTTTCTTTCTTTCTTTCTTTCTTTCTTTCTTTCTTTCTTTCTTTCTTTTAATTTTAATTGCCCAGCAATTAAAAGATGACTATCAAATCTTTGTTGACAAATGAATATCCAAAGGAAAGAGCTCTTCAAGCACATTAAATCTTACCTATCTGTGTTTGGGGTGGTGGCCACTGTAGAAGGTGGGTAGACACCAGTTGGGTGCAATGGCTTCCTTTCTGGCCAATAATGCACTCCTGAGTTGCCTTCTCCATCACATTTAAAATTGCTCAGAATTAGCTGATCCAGGTTCTTAGCCCCAAACCGCTTTGATCTCCAGAATTAAGCAGATATTTCTCTGGGTATACAAATCTTACTGTGTTGTATAATGGTCTTAATTTTTCTTTTTTAATTTTCTGTTTCTTTGTTCTCTTTCTTCCCAGCAGATAGCCAAGTATTTGTGTTTAGTTCCTTGCTGTGGAGGAGTCTGTGGCCCTTAATAGCAGAAGTTACCTTTACAGGATTGGTCTGAGGGATGTGGTTTTGCAAAGGAGCAGGATTCCTGAAGGAATTTCCAAGGATGAAGCCTCAGGAGTGAAGTGAGAAGGGACAATGCAGGAAACTCCAAGAAACAGAAACTGTCCCCTGACTGGCTAGGGGTTGGGTGTTGCAACCCCACGTGAACTCTCCCATCTAAGGAGGACCTCAGGAGATGGATGCCAGACCTGGGGGAGCCTGGGATCCACTCACAAGCTACCAACTTGAGCACTGACTGAGAGTCCCCAGCCTTACAAGTCACAGGAATTCCACACTCAGGCTAATGCTTTGATGTGAGAGAGCCCTCTCCTGATTTCAGGTTAAGCTTTCTGATTCTCCTGTGGCCCCAGAAAATAGAGGATTCCATTCTCATAGTGGCAAAGACGAAATCTTTTGCTCTCTGAGAGAGATGATGGTTCGGATATGCATTTAATTTAATTTTTATAAATAAAGAAATAGTACATGTTTAGGAACTTGATATAAGGACAAAGAAGAAAGAAAAAAATAATCGATATAGCATAGGAACAAAATAGTAAGTGAAGGGAGCGGGCAATGACGGCAAACATGAGGAGAAGCGAAGAGAAGTAAAAATGTATGGCCACGTTAATATAAATAACTACAGAATTAAAAAAAAAAGCTGAGAAGTCATAAGTAACAGACATCTATCCCTTTCCTCACATAAACATATGATTTCAGAATGATAAAATAAAAAAAACCTGCTTAATGCTACAGTTTTGCATGAATGATATTCATCTACCTCTCCAAAAACGACTTGGCTTAATTATATTGTACATGTCTGCTCGTCTGCTTGATGGTCCAGTGACGCTTGATAGCTGTAAAATAATTCCTATTAATTTACAAATATAGCCCATAAAATTTAATTTTCTTGTCTTTGTTTCAGCAGCACTAATTATGCTGCAATCAACACTTTCACATATTTTATACTCAATTGATAGCAATGCCAAAATAGGCATTTTCCTTCAAATATCATTGTTGAGTTTTTTTATTTCTAATTTTCATTGAAGAACTCTGTCTGCTGATGCAGTGCCAACTAGACCTGTCAGTAAAATTCTCTTACATACCATGTTCAAACATTGTGCTGGGATTGTACATATTAGATGAAATTTACCACTGATGAAAATTATACACTGTTTTCATCTCTATATAAATATAAAATAGATACTTTCACCATTTCATTAAAAAAGATCTACAGCTATGTACCAAAAACTACAGCTTCTCATATCAGGTCTAGAGCTACAGATTTAGGAGAATTTCGAATATTCAACAAGGGAGAATGTTTCTCAGATTCCATGCAGCAGTGCTCCAAATGGTGGGTGACTTACAAATACCTATGCAGCCACAAACATAAATAAGAAAATGGAGGCTTAGCCCAACTGGGAACAGCAGCTCTCGCAGGACTCTCCTGCATGCGTACTATCAGAGCAAAATCTTTTACAAGTGAATCTGCGTTTTCGCTTACCTAAGCACTTCAGCCACTCAACTCTCGCACACCCCCAAGTGAGTGCATCTCTGATGTAGCCTGAGTGCAGTTCTTTAACCTTCCAGGCAGTTGAATAAAAGGTGAGGATTGGGCAATAGTTCTCAGAACTCTGCATGGTATTAGTTATGGACTTTGTGGCTTACTGTCCCTGTACTGAAGATTGCATCTCAAGTCACGGAATGCCACATATTCTTCCGTCAGCCCCTCTAGGTCTCTGTGATAAGTAGAACTCCCTAGGGTATGATGTTAGATGTTAGAGAAGCCAGTCTCACCTGGTCCTTGCTTAGGCTGTGAGGAAGCAGGGAAAACAAAGAGATGGAAGGAGATTTGGTGGAGGAGGATAGATGAGAAAGAACTTAAGCGACTTTCCACATGCAAAAAGTTAAAACTTCTGATATTAACAATCTGTCCAAAGATCTCTAAGCACTAAAATGATGGCAAAAAGCACAACTGACCTGCATGCAAATAATTTCTACAATATTAAATATATATATTTAAAAGACATCCAAATACATATATATAGAGTTACACACACATGCACACTCAAACACACACGCAAGTCACACAAATGGGCTCCCTTCTGCTTGTTTGCTTGCTTGCTCTGCAGCAAATCAAATCATTTTCTTCTTTCTAGTCCCTTCTGTTTTTACATTCTCATAACCTCTCCACTAATGAGTTGGGCAATGCAGGTATATGATAGTGAGACAGCAAACATCACATTTACAGTTGATCATTTGCACAGGAGGAGGGCAAATAGATCATTAAAACCAAATATTAACCATCTGCTGTCTCCATCAACTATAACAAAGACATTCCTAACATATACAGATGTCATTAAACAGATGAAAGACTCCTTTGAATTAATTAGTTTGCAAACCTTATTGCCTTTTTTACTCGTTTGCTTATTCATTTGTTGGCTACCAACAACCTGGTGAAAGCTTCCTCAGTTCCATAACCCTGTTCTTCCTTGATCTAACTGTAAGAATGAAGGGTTTGGCTGTGTTCAACCCAGTTGAGCTAAGATCCTGAAAGATTGTGTACAGCAATCTTATAATACAACAGGACAGTGTTTTGTTTTGTTTTTAAGCAAGTTATTGTGAAAGAAAGAAAACTGATAGAAGGCTAGAAATCATTGGCTATTGCTGATTTCATCAGCTTCAAACCATCTCTCTGGTGATGTTCGTGAAGCACTAAACCATGGGGAAGTTGCTGGTTTATCTAAACACTAAGATAAGATAAACTCTGATGCATCCCTATAAGTTGAGCCAGGGACTGGATAGAAAAGAGCGGGAAACACATTCCATTCCAAGAGCTAGATATGCTCTTGACCTGCAAGATTCTAGGGGAAAAGTGAAGAACAGCAAACCCTGCAGAAGGCTGTTTTGCTTCTAGAGACTAAAGAGCTCACAGAAGGCTGACAAATGGCTAATAATTTCATTGTAAACCAGGACTGTTACCTTGGATAGCCTCCAGAGAACTGCCAGAGATGGCCAGTCACTGCTGTTCCCTCTCCCATGAGTAGCACCCAAGCCATCTGCAAAGGCTCATTGGTCTTTCTCCACAGTAAGAATCCCGGTGCAACTCAAATCAAAGTGCACTTTTCCTCAGAGGAGGCGAAAGCAAAGCCAATAACCCTGAGCAATGCTAGCTGGAAGAGATAAAGAACGCAAAGAGATTTGTTTGTACTGATCTCTTTGCTTTCCTAACTTTGGTTTTCCCTGCTAACACTAACTACATATAGTCAAAATGTAAGAGTTCGAGAGCCATGTAGTTAGGTGACAGTACCACTTAGTGAAGATCACAGAGCGGACCTACACAAGCCAAGGTGGTATGATGTGTACGGCAGTAATAGTGTCACTGTGGAGGTTTGGAGACAGAGTGATAGATACAGTGACCTACTCAGCAAATGCTGCCACTCATTTTACTCTCTTTTCAATTCCACCTTGGTTTTTCAAGCCAGGGTTTCTCTGTGTAGTCTTGTAAAATGGCTACCACCTCTGCCAGGTAGCTACGGGCAACTCTAGGGCTCTGGGACATTATGGAGCCCTCCTCTGTTCCCCTGCAGAAGCCAGAGACACTTGTGTGAGGCAGTCACGAGGACTTCTGGCTCTGGAAAGATCCTCACTCTTCAGAGAGCATTAGAGAGTGGTTATTCACCGGGCCCGCTCTTCCTTCTGTTACCACTTGCTGGCTCACAGCGGCCAATCTGTCCCATCACATACATACACACTAGCTGCCCTCACACACATGCAAAACAACCAAACAGACGCTCCCCCTCAATGGCATGAACCAAGCTTTTCCTATTTATAAGCAGCAGCCCAACAGAGCCTCTCCGTTCTGTAACTTGCAGCGCTCCGCAAGCGGCACCAGAATAGAGATGTGTTCGTACTTTCCAGTCGCCCAGATTGCCACTTCAGAAAGAGCGATAGACAAATAGGCCGCAATCCGTTTAGAACATTTCCCCATGTTTAACTTCCAAATTTGAGAGTCTTAAGCGTGGTTGCCAGAAGCAAGTTTTTCTAAATGCAGTATTTTTTTTCTTGGTCTCTTAGTAAATGGTAACTGAATATTTTCTCCCCTACTGTTTCTTTTCAGAGGCCAAGAGTTTTTTCACTCCTAGTCTGCAATACCCTGCCTGGGCTGTCGCCCAAGTGGCTTTCACACCTAAAGTGAGAAAGAATTAAGTGCTTCTGCAATTCAGAAATGGTTCTGTCTGCCTGGGAGCTGCAAAGCTCTCTTGACTGAACTATTCCTTTTAGACTCCGAAGCTAAGTGTACGAAGGAGCCTACAACCGTGCCAAGAAAGAAGCTAGAGAAAGAAGCCGGACCCATTATGTTTCTATCGGAGCTCTTCCGGGGAAGTACTCACAGACGCTCACTGGCTGTGTAACCTCTGTGCTTGTCAACTTCCTATTTTCCACAAAATGAATGTCTAAGTTGTTAGCTGACCCCACTTTCATATTAATTATGTTGCTCCGTCCCTAATTCAGTGTTGTGCTTGTCTTAATGGGAGGAAAAACGGGTTCGCGCGCGCCTTCAGTTATTCTCATCGGGAGGTGTCGATTCACATCTCAGGAGTGTCTATTATCCTATAATCTGTGAAAATAGATCTCAGACAAAGCAAGCTTGCCAAAGGTCAGAAGTGGTTGAATAAGTATCCTTACGTATTTAAAGATCTTGCTCCGTTTTATAAATTAGCTCTGCTATGTGGAAAAGCGGTCTTAGGCATTATAGACGCTGTTTAAGGCCAGCCCTTCAGCTGTGAGTGACAGGCTGTTGTTGCTGCTCCCAGGACTCCGCAGGCTTGTAAGACTCCATAAATCACAGTGTCTGTTATCATGTTTTCCTTTTTTAAATGAACTGTAAATTTTCAGCCATTGTTTCCTTCTAGTGTTTGTCCTTAGGTAATCAAAGTAAGGCTAACAACATCTTTTACAGGCAATTTGAGAGATTGGATGGGGAACAGTGAATATACTAAAAATGGTTAAAAAAAAAAAAACCCTAGAGCAATCTATATTTGAAGCTGAGAAAGGGACTGCCCTGAAAATCACAGGGCAGTCAGTCTATTTCCATACCTGCAAAATACGAGAACAAATCCTCAAAAAAAAAAAAAAATCAATTTGCAAACACCCATAGGATCACAGAATACCAGGTAATAATCAACATTGCTTTGTGAAGAACAGTCTTGTCAGAACATCTAATTTCCTTCTAAAACAGAGTGACAGGCCCGGTATATCAGAGGGATGAAGCAGATGTAACAGAGCTAGAATTTTACAAAGCTCCTGATTCTCTGTTCCGTGCTCCGCTCATCAGCAGATGACTTCCGAGCAGATGAACTCTGCAGAGATAGATTTCAAGGAGGCACTGCGCTATCTTGACAGGTAGGCCCTGGGGAGGAGGGGACTACGTGTAGGCTTGATGTAGGAATAAATGGTTTTTTTTCAGGCCTCTTAGAGGCCTATTGGCATCAAACAGAGTCCTGATACACACTACACACTCAGTAAAGCAATAAAGGAGAACAATAGGAGCTGGGAAAATTGTCACAACTTTATAAGGAATGCCTAAGCAAAGACCCCACATTGAAGGAGAGACTTGCCCCTCCTTTATGAAGAGCCAGCTCCCCAGGGAGCTGAAACTGTATTATAGGTAAAGGCTCCACATTGTCTGATGTAGATTTAGTTACAGATTATTTTGAGTGGCTTTATACATATGCAAATAGAATGGTATACCATTTATGTGGGATTAGAAAGAAGCTACACAAGTTCAAGCTTTATAAATGCAATAAGAATGTTTCACAAAATATTGGCTAAGTCAAAGACAGGCTATACTCTCAATACATCCTGGAATGAAACTTTTAAGAAGGGCTCGGTGATGCAAAGGAACCAGCGTTTGAAGGCAGGGCTTGCCAGCTGGCTTGACTGTGTGATGTTAAACTCCGCTTAGCCTTTCATCCCCCCAATATGCACATGGGTTCTCCTAAATCTTAGAGCTGAAATCATAAGTACGTGAGAACACACACACACAGCCCCTAAGCATGTGTGTTTATTTTGGTGTCCATATACAAACAGGTACATTTCCCAGTATCAGGTATATTGCAGGAAGGTGAAAAATTATAGTGCTTCCCTTCCATTCTCGTGTGGGTAAGTCTACCCAGGAAAGGACCTTGTCATAGCTTCAATGACACACCTACCAAGTCCTTTTCTTATGGCACTACATCCAGCCACCCATGGGTATCTGTTGTCCATGCCTTGTGTCTTATCTCCTATTATTTCCACCTTTTAGATACAAACTTCGTCTAGGAATTGGTCAGTCGTGTGTGTGTGTGTTGGGACGGAGGGTAAAATGTTTTACTATAACTCCTGTTTTCTGCAGGACTCCTACGTTCTCCTCATCACACTGGCCACTCTCGGTTCATTTGAAGTGTGCACCTGAGCCAAGACTGAACCATCACCACCGTAGCACAGTTAATGTCCATTGATGGCTGTCTTAGTCCATTTTAGTTTGCCATAACAAAGATTAGGCAATTTATCAAGAACCCAGGTTTACTTGTCCTGTTGGTCTAGGTCTGGGAAATCTAAAGGCATGATGCGGCCTTTGGGGAGGGCCTTCTTTTGTAGCATAATATGGGAGAGGGCATCACAAGGCAAGGCAAAGCCAGCTGCTAACCCGAATCTTCTTTCCTCTTATAAAGCCACATGGCAACGATACCCTTTTGACTTCAGCTAATCCTAATTACCTTTCTAAGGACCTACTTCCAGAGATATTTATATTATTTATTTATTACTGGTGCTGGATATTGAACCAAGAGTCCCACAAATAGGTAAATGATCTGTCACCGAGAAACAGTCCCAGCTTCTTTTGACTTTTTATCTTTAGACAGGATCTCACTGAATTGTTCAAGCTGATCTTGAACTCTCTAGCCCAGGTCAGCCTTGAATTATTACTGGGTCTTCCCCCTTCCTTTCTTCAGAGTAACTGGGATTTTAAGGCCTATGGGAAGAAGCCTGGTTTTCCAAATATCATTAACATATGAATCCGGGTTGAGGCACTGTATTTAAGAACTTCTTGGAGAATGAATACAACCTAAACTGTCACCATCTGATGCAACTTTCCACCTTCAGTCTTTTTATGGAGCTATGGAGTTGTTTTGAACTAGAGCTGAGAGAATTTGTAACTCAACCTCTCTTTCACTGATACTATCCACTAAACCAATATTTCCCACTAGGAGGATGAGGCAATGTATTTTAATTAAAGAATTCTGAGAGAGCGGTAGATAAGAAAAAAAAAATAAATACGATTAGTCATCTTCAAATCCCCGTTTCAATTGTTCCTGAGCCGGAACTTCTGTCCCTGCCTCTCGCAGGTCTTCAGACCTCTCTAACTCCAGCCAGTTTACTGCTACTATTTATAACTATGTTTCAATTTTTAAAATCAAAATCTTTTTTTTTTTCTAAAAATCTTTGATGGGTACGATAGCACAAACCTTTAATCCCAGCATTTCAGAAGAAGAGGTAGGAGGACTCTGTGAGCTCAAGGCCATCCTGGCCTCACAGTTAGTTCAGGCCAGCCAGGGGTGCATAGATCGGTCTCAAATAGACCCTGTCTCAAAAAGCACAAGAACCCTAACCAACCAACCAACTAAACAAACAAGCAAAACAATCACCTTTGACTGCATATACCCTCAAATACATTCAAGACAAAGAGAAACCACACTGTTATTTCAAAGCTCACGTATATTCTTGGGTTTGAAACACCCTTCCTGAAGGTTTTCAGAGTTCTACCGATTTTAACTCTACCCATAACACTTAGGAATGTCTAATACTCATTCCTTTTAACAGTAAAACATATCCCTCCCTGCTTTAGAGGTGAAAAAATACTTTCTTCAATTTATGGTAAGCTACAAATTCTGGAAGAATTCTCATCTTTCTTCCTTTTGAATCCTTTGATCAGTTCTCCATTAGTGCATTTTCCAGTTGGTTTGCAAAAGCTATTTACATATTCTAGCATCTCCTATCATACATATTGCAAAGAGCGCACTAAATTTTGTTGTTTGCTTGGTTGCTATGCCCTCCTGCAGAATAAATTAGAGATTGAATTAGTAATTGTGTCTACCCCAGTATTAGAAATTAACTAAAGTTGCTTTCAGTGAATTCTTCAAAGCTACAAAATCTACTAGTTCTTAAACATGTCATTACATAATTTGATCAGAACACAATCGATATTTTATTTGTTTTGCTTTTTGTTTTTCATGACAGGGTTTCTCTGTGTAGCAGTGGCTGTCCTGGAACTTGCTCTGTAGACCAGGCAGAACACAATCAACTTTTTAAAGACTTTTTTAAAAAAGAAATCATTGAACATCTCCAGATTTCACTTCCTTTTCCATCCTTTTGAGGAAAAACAATGTAGTTGCCCATTGAGTTGATTCCTTGGTCATGGAGGAAGAGAGCTCAGGGCAAGCAACCTTGCTGTCCACTCTTGAGGTCTTTACTTTAGACAACTTTTCTTTCTTCCTAGAAGGTCAGTTTTCTTGGTCCTTTCTTTTCTTCACCATAACTACAGTGTACACCACCCTTTGTAGTTGATACAACCAACAGATTCTCAAGAACTTAAATTTATATACCACTATGGTAATAGGTAAGAACAAACCTACGACTAAAACTGTCAAATGACCTTGGAAGCCATGACAGACTTAACAATTTGATGGAAAACCAAAAGGAAACAGATTACAGATTGCTCCGTTAATGTTGGACCAAGATGCTGAGGTGGCCTGAGTTTCAGCGAAGTTATATGACATCACTTCCTGATGTAATGGTTTAAGACAGCAATAGTCTCTCAGTTTCTACGCAGTCAGATATCCACTGCCCACATTGCTCGAGAACTACTGTCAACTTTGCTCCTATAAGAAAAACTGGCTAAGCACTGCTTACACTATTCATTGGCTTTTCCAGCCCCGAGTTTCAAAGTCTTGCATATTTCTCAAAAATAAACAAACAAACAAAACCAAATCCCCAAATGGCTGGGCTCATCCAACAATTGGTTCTGCCGCTCTGGGTTGCTGTCCCACTTTGCAACAATTCCACTGGTTTTGGTATCAGTTTCTGTATTTGTTACTTTTCTAGTGTTGTTGTGATCAAACCATGATCAAAAGAAATTTCAAAAAGAAAGACTTTAGCTTAATGTTCCAGAGGGAGAGTCCATGAGGGCAGGGAAAGCTTGTCAACAGTCAGTATAGTATTGGGGGCCACATACTTCTATTATTATGTGCATTTGGTTAGACATGAAGATGTGGCCTTTTAAAAAAATCATTAGATTGAAAATCAATTTTTCCTTTTAAACTTAAAAGATGCATTTTTAGCATAGTTGCCAACCTATGTCATCCCTGCCATATTGTACACAGCAACTTTGGTTCACATAAAGTCCAATAGTTCCCAGAACAAACACCTGCTGAATATGCTGTCTTACACAACAGTCGAGGAGAAGTGACAAAATCGTAGAAAGAGGATACGTTTAGTACTGGCTAACGTTTCAGCCCTTGGCACATGGTGATCGCCAACGGGAAAGTAAAGCTAGGCATGGGTCGGCACTCAGTTCTGGAAGTGGCACCTTCCTAGATTTGGCAGGTTTAATGCAGAAAAGGTTTTCCAGGGACCACTGAGGTCTGCAATGTTCCTAAAAGATGATGCCCAATTCTCTTGGAGCCAGTTCCGCTTTTGTATAAATAGTCTCCATCTTGGACCAGTCTCCTTGTCCTCCCAGGAAAGCAATTCATTTAGCAACTGAGTTGGTTCAGTGCTGTCATGACATCTTAACTAAAACTGTGAACTGATCTCTGTATTGCCAAAGAGTTCCTTTCTTGATGGCAGAGAGAAAGAGCTGGCTTTCTTTAACACAGGTGTGTTGTGCTTAACTCTGACTGTGCCCAAACTTGAATCCTAGGTGGAAACATCTTTGGGGAACAGAAGAATGGCTCTCATGTCTGCAAATACCTGTGTCCTTTGACTTCAAGTCTACCAGTCCTTCAAGAATAGAGCCTCTGTTATCTCAGTGACATTTAACATTGGCTCCAAACCATTCTCTTAACTGCCATGGTGATGTCTCTATGCGTTCATGAATCAAAACCCACAAAAGTCAAAGAAAGCTTCCTGGGTGTACATGTGATAAAGTAAAAAAACAAAAAACAAAAACAAAAAACAAAAAACAAAAAACCCACAAAACCCACTGTTTATCAAAAGACTAATAAGTACAACCAGGTTATAGCACACACCTTTAATCCCAGCACTTGGCAGACGGGGGCAGGTAGATCTCTGTGAGGTTGAGATCAACCTGGTCTACAGATTGAGTTCCAGGACGGTCACGGCTACATAGAAAAACCCTGTCTCAAAGAAACAAAACAAAACAAACAAATGAAAAAAAAAAAACAAAGAAAAACACTAGTACCAAGTTTTAAAAGAAAGGCTACTACATTTTGAAATTTGGGTATTTCTGAGGTCAGGTATTTTTTTGGGTAGTATTTTCATTAATATGAAAGCATGTGACTTTTAACACAACTACATATCTAGATACAGACTTAGTCACATATTTTGGTTTTTGATACAGGCCTCCAAATCTCTCAAAGTAAGGATAGTGCAGGCCTCACCTTTTTTTTTTTTTTAAAGTATTTTTGCAGCCTTGTTGGTCACTGAGGCCTACAAGAGCACACAAACACTAAAACAGAGAAGCCAATGGGTCTTGCACAGGCAAGGTTCCATTATTTTCTCTTGATCAAGGCACTTAGTCTCTGTAAATGTGGTACCTCCTTGAGGAAGGACGTTTAAAAGAAATCCCACACTAGCTCAGAATTGAGAATAATGGATGGTTATTTATTTAGGGGTAGACTCGCAAATCAGAATCCCTTGCTGGAAGAGAACAGAAACCACAGAAAACAAATCACGCAGCAGGCAAAGAAGCATGAATAGAATAAGAGGCCACGCCCCAGTGGGCGGGTAACTTGAAGGCTACTGGCTGTAGGATTTTCCTACAGCATCTCCTCAGCAAAACAATCTAAAATTGTGTGATATTTGTACAGCGTGTGAAGATGTTTTGCTGTGATTGGTGTAATAAAAAGCTGAATCGTCAATAGGCGGGACTTTTGGGCACAGAGAACTCTGGGAAGAAGAAAGGCAGAGTTGCCAGCCAGAAGTGGGGGAAGCAGGATGGGCAGTACGGAAATGAGGTAACGAGCCACATAAAAGAACATAGATTAAAAATTATGGGTTAATTTAAACTGTAAGAACTAGTTAGGAACAAGCCTAAACTAAGGCCGAGATTTCAGAATTAATAATAAGTCTCCATGTCATTATTTGCTGCTGTGGTCCTGACGAGAAAGTACTACTACATAAAATTCCTTCTGTGAAATTCCAAATTAAACATTGTAGGATAACTGGAAGTTTTTCACAATTGGGAATGTTGTGATCAGCTCTGGAGCTGTAAATTTCTACAAGCAGTGCACACCACCCTACTTTGCATGAGCCTTTGGATGCCCTGTCCAGAACTGGAATGTATCTGTCTGCAGAATGCTACTGGCTGGGAGGCAAAGCATGGCTTCTGCATGTTGTCTTCCAGTTTTTATTTTGTTTTCTCTGATACAGGGTATCTCATGTAGCCAAGTCTGGCTTCGAACCCTCAGTTAGCTGACATGGAACTGGAACTCCTGAACACCCCACCTCAACCTCCAAGCGCTGATTACAGGTATGTGCCATTATACCTGAACCAATCTTTTAAAAGACCTAAAACAATCTATAACTCTAAATACTTGTGGGCCTACAGATTTAAAAGCAGCTGGAAAACCCTATTTCTTCATTTCACAGGATTCGAACCAAGACATAAATGAGGGGAATAAAGAGAATAAATCCTCAGTTGGTGGGCACCATGGTAAGTTATTGTCTCTTATTAGTGTTGATAAAAGTAACAACAGCACGGGTACACAGTACAAGATCAGATAATTGCTATTTTGACTTTCTCTCAAGGAGATATTTCTGAGGTCCTTTAAAGGGAATTAAAGGCAGGAGACAGTTCAGTACAATTGGACATTTTTGGGGGGGAAGGGAGGCAAAAGTTTAAGCTTTGGTTCTTGAAGGAGTAAATACCAATTATACAGAAAATTTAAAGCCACTTCCACTCCTGGCAGAGGCTGGATGCCTGAGGTAAAAGATACAACAAAACACCCAACACTTAAAATTTAAAAAAATTAAATAATCCTCCAGAAACCTAAGCAATACATTTGTCTTGTCCTATTTTCCTCTGCAGGTCTATCGTGGGTTATGAGTTTATATTAGTTTTATACATCTAAGGTACAATAACAACGTCCTCTGTGAAGGGCTCTAGTAGGCCTGAGCATGCAAACATGGCGCTGATAGGACTTGCCCTCTCCCAATCCCTCTTCCTTGCTAAAGTGTTAGTGTTCCTAAAGCTAGCCACCAAGGTCTAGTCCCTTATTTGGCCACTGACTCATTCCTGAGACTAAACACAAAGGTACAGCCATCAAAATTCATTATATGGGTAATAGATTCAATCAGGATTTACCAACTCAACCTAGCACAGACTCCCCTTTTTTCTCCATAAAACACAGTTCTGCAAAAAGTGCTTGCTTGCTGCCTCTGCTTCTGCTTCTGCTTGATGTCTGCCTTTGAAGCTTCCCCTGACCCTTTTGCCCCTCTGGGGTAATAGCATTCTCTTTATAAAATAACATTTTCCTAAGGGCCACATCTTTCTCCTCTCTATCCAGAGGCAGTCCTTTGTCCCACTGGGGGAAATATTTCTCCTCCCTTTCCCTTGCCCCTTTCCTGTTGTTGGTTCTTTTTACTCTTTGGGGGGCGGGGCCATCACTTAGCTCCCAAATAAACCACAAGGAGGCTTATTCTTTCTTACGAAAGTCTGGCCTAAGCTTGGCTTATTTCTAGCTAGTTTTTCTCAAATTATCCTTTCTATCTTTTGCCTCTGGGCTTTTACCTTTCTATATACCTATCTTTACTTCTTACTCCATGGCTTGCTGTGTAGCTGTCGTCCTCTTCTCTTCCTTTTCTTACTCCTCTCTCTCTCTCCTTCCAGAATTCTCCTCCTGTTTTAATCTCTCTGCCTGCCAGTCCCACCTATCTTTTCTCCTGCCTACTGGCCATTCAGCTCTTTATTAGACCAATCAGGTGTTTTAGAAAGGCAAAATAACACAGATTCACAGATGCAACACTGAAGAATGCAGCACATCTTTGCGTCTTTAAACAAATGTTCCACAGCATAAACAAATGTAACACATCTTCAACTAATATTCCACAGCACTTTCCTCCTGTGGTGTTTTGAAAGACAATGACTCCCAAAGGGGGTGGCACTATTAGGAGGTGTGGCCTTGTTGCAGGAAGCATATCACTGCAGGGGTAGGCTTTGAGTTCTATGTTCAAAATGCTCCCAATGTCAAAGTCCAACGCCATGTTTGCCTGCACGCCACCATGAACCCCACCATGATGATAATGGACCAAACCTCTGAAAACTTGTAAGTTACCCCAAATAAATATTTTCTTTATAAGAGTTGCCATGGTAATGGTGTTTCTTCACAGCAATAGAAATCCTAACTATGACACTGCCTCTATCCCTTGTCACCTATCCAGTCTTGGTTCCTTTGGGCAAATAAGTCTCCTTTGAGCTGAGAACTTGGTCTTGGTGTGTCCTGGGCTGACTCTGGTCCTTTCATTGGTTTGGTGACTAGGATCTGTCTACAGGACAATTCCCCCAACACACACACACACACACACACACCAGTACTCACATATTCCACACCATCCAGTGACTGCCCTTTTTATCCAACGATTGCTAATTGATGAGTTTCCCCTACACACCCTATACTCCTATGCTCTTGATAAACACAATCCATTTGCTCAGGTTTGATTGGGAGAGTCCCCTTTCACTTTTGCTGGTCCCACTGCTGAAATCTGGAGCCCCTACTCTGAAAAGCCTGTTGATAGGCCCTGGATTTCTCCTTGGCCAATTGTGTCCCTCTCTTGGAAGGCCTTGGTGATGACCCCTCCCTCCCAGAGACCTCTTTATTGGCCTCTCGAGATTCATGGGGACACTGTCTCTTGACTTTGGATCACCACCAACTAGTGATGGTAACTGCTCCTTCCACGTGGACAATTCACTCCCAACATCACTGGTTACTTTTAGTACCCAGAATTCGCCCTGGCACCTGAACAAAGGGAAGGGAGATCCCTTTATGTCTCAGTTTTTCTTTCTTCTCTCCAACATCTTTGTGTGTCTCTTACACTCTCAGATTTTTCTATACTCCACTATGTGCCTTTTTTCCCATTCCGTGTCCTATTTAAACTTCTGAGTGCTACAGGAACACTTACTGACTGCCGAGCACTCTGTGCCCACCTTCCTTGGCCAGCTGACCCAGCTGTCTGAGAGCAATGCTGCCATGCTTGCACCCTGACGCTGCTGGGAGCCCTGCTGGCCACCCCTCACTGCAGCTGCCAGTCCAGCCCTAGCCTGACCACTCTGCATGTTCCAGCCCAGCTTGGCCTGGCCTGAACTCAGGGAAACAAAAGAAAAAACTTTCCTTTCTCTTTTCCCAACAACTAGTAAGCAAAGACACCCACCCACCTGGACACCTAGTCTCTCTTTTCCCTGCTCTCAGTTATCTGCCTCCCCTCCTCCAGGAACTGCAGTCTTAATACAGATTCCTTACGCCCAGGTTGGGACCACTGTGGTCCCTTTCTTGCTACCTCTCTTAGGAGCTGCCTGCTAAGTCCTACAGCTCCCTTAAGTCCTTCTTGGCCTCTGCAATCTTATCCCTCTCATCTCCCTTCTGGAAGTCCTGCAGATTTTCTATACACCTCCCTCCAATGGAGCTTACCCCTCCTCTTTCATTAACCATTCATTTCTTATCTCTATGCCAGAAGTGTCTCTGGGCTTCTGGAGCCTGCTATGCCCTGAGTGCCCACCACGTGAGCAACTTTCTAAAGATACTTCCTGGCTCCCCTTTCCTCTGCACTCTCTCTACTCAGCTCCTTTGTAAAGCTTACAGAAATTTCCTCCAGCAGAATTTTGTTTTTTGACCCTCTTACTTCCTTAAACAGATTGACCTCAGGTCAAATTTTGGCACATCTGATTACCAAATTTTCACAAATCATAGCAACTTCTGCCGCTACTCAAACAAATGATCCCTAAATCTCTTATATCTAAACTTGCTCTGCTCTACACTTGGAAAATTCTCAGCTCTAAGGTTCTACTTCCCACTCTTAAAAATCTTTGATCTTGGATTTCTCTACATTCTGCTCTCAAAAAATTCTCCCATGTGTAAATTCTGTCTCAAGATTTGTAAGTTCACTGGATATGGTTTAGTATCTATAAAATCTGTAACAAAACTTGGCTTTAAATTTTTATCTGAAGACCTATAATTAAAAGTCTACACAATATATGTGATTCAATTCTTATTTAAAATACATTGTACCAAAACTGACAAAATACATCTTTTCAAAGGTTAAGGAGTATATGCTGTGTGACTTCACCATCTCAAGATGACCACATGGCATAAAACAACAATTACAAAATTTCTCAGTCCTACTGAACTCTCCGTTTATTATTTATTGTATTGTTAGACTAAGGAAGTAACAAGTCTCCAGAATATTTTGGGTTGGTATGGATTTTTGTATGGTTATAAAAATTTAACACTATATTTACTACACTATACTATATATGATTCAATCCTGGTTTAGAATTACTACATGATTATGAAATTTTAAGGTAATAGAGGTCTATTCAGATTAGTCAAAGCTGACTAAGTGGTTTACACCTAACTACTTACGTCTTTGCTAAGTGTTCAACACCAGGCTCCTAAAAAAATTTGATAACTAAGAACATATGTTTGATGAATAAAGTATATTTGACAAATTAAGGTTTATAAACTCCTAAGGTCTACTCAGATTCACAGTGATATCTGTCTATGATTTAGATAATTATTAGATAGACTAAGTCATATAAAAACTGTGATATTATATAGTGATATGGTATAAAATAATCAAAAGTTCCCTGAATTGATATGGACTGTATTTATGACTAAAATTTTATTTTGATACTAAAAAAGCATTAATTCAAAAACTGTTATTTTTTTAAATATTTATTTATTTATTAATTATGGATACAACATTCTGTCTGCGTGTATGCCTACAGGCTAGAAGAGGACACCAGACCTCATTACAGATGGTTGTGAGCCACCATGTGGTTGCTGGGAATCGAACTCGGGTCCTTTGGAAGAGCAGGCAATGCTCTTAAGCGCTGAGCCATCTCTCCAGCCCCCCAAAAAACTGTTATTTTTTAAGGCTAAACTTAACATGTATAAAAATATAAAGTCCTAATATAAAAACTATTAACTTATTGTAAACTGTTAAAAATAATTAAAACATACAAGTTAATCATCAATTATCTTATAAATGATCAAATTCCTTAATGTGTTCAGAATTATACTATAGTCATGCTAAGTACTAATGCAATTAATTACAGTTAATAAACTTTATTTAGCCTCCTGTATATGTTTTCAAAATTAAGCTGAAAACAAGGAAATTATGTTCAATTTAGACATACTTAACAGGTAGTGGTCCTCAAAACTTTTCAGATATCTGTTGAATATGGCAATAAACATGTGTAAATGTAATTTACAAAGGTATACAAAAGTGACTTAAGGTACATAAGAAAAAAGTTTTAGATCTCTTTCCTTCTCTCTACACTATTGTTTGGATTCCCAAACTTTTACTATGACTTAAAATCATAAGTCTTCTTCTCTTTCTACAATATAAACTTTATTTTAGATTACAAGTAATGGTAAGGCTAACATATGCTGTGGAATAATGCTCTTGTACCCTGTAAAGATTTGTCACTTGT